AAGTATCTTGTTGCAGGTGCCTTTTCTACTCTGTTTAAATACTGTTTGTGTCATTATAGACTAATCTGTGGCTGGTTCATGAGCACAATGGTACTGAAAGTGGTGTGAAAATTTGCTTAATGTGATAAAAAGTACTGTCAGAGTGTCTGGGTTTGATGCAAACAGGAAAAGATTGTTTCAGTTAAGGCACCACTTCATGATCCTTTGGCATTGTCCTAATGATTTAAATGCTAGAATGTAATTTTCTGATGAACTTCAGAGTAAGAAGCTTAAAAGTGAAAAAAGCTTCAGGTATTTTTCTATTCAAAACTGCAGCCTTGGAAGGAGTGGAAAATACTGTGTTAAGGCTTCAGATAAATGCAAAAGTTGGCTGTAGGACGTGCACAAGTGCATTACCCTTATCAAGGGGTGAATTTTGTAAACAGAAAAATAAATTAAATGTGGTTGTGGAGTCTTGGTAGAAAAGTGATTGAAATGCAGTATTTCTTTTTGGTAGACAGACATTGCTTGGGGACAAGTTGTGATCTGGAAAAAGTTTCAAGTAGCTATATCTAAATTGCAAATAAAAAGAGATTTGACTCAACTAAATTGTTTATTTTACTGTTTAGAATTTGATTTCTTATTACCATTCATTTGAAGTGTGAAGTGTATTGTTGTGCAAAGGCCATATCCAGTTTTCTGGCATTTGTGAAATCCATTAATGTGAGAAGTGTTGGATGAGTCTGAGGTTGTGTTCTCTGAATGTCCTGCTAATCTCTGATTTATTGTAGGTAGATGCACAATAAAATTCTGATTGTATACTCCTCCTTACAAATACACTTCTTAAATGGTAGAGCAGTTCAGGGATATTTACAGTTAAAATGTGTGACTATTAAGGAATATGCCAGGAAAATCAAAGATTTCTCACAGTGCTGTACACTTCTGTCTGAATCAGCTGAGTCTGTTATGATAGGTTAAAATTTATTTGCAGGGTTGAGATTTGAGATTTTGAACTGCTCATCAAAACACCAAACCAAAACCAACATTCACCAAGCCCCCAAATGAAACCCAGCCAAAAATCCATCCTGTTTTTAGCTTGAAGCTGGAAGTGCATCATTCTGAGAGCTGTCAGCCCCCCTTTTCTATTTCTGTATATAACTTGTTAGAAACCACTGGGAAAAATAGTTTTGTTTCTCCCCTGATGAAATCCTGGGGTAATGTTCTGGGAAGATTTTTAGCTTTCTTTGATATGCATGTTTCTTTTTCAGCTGAGACATGACTCCTTGCATATCAGTTCAAGGCAAACAGATGTCTGAAATCAGGCTGCTTTCATCAGGATTTTTCCTTTTGGGTTGTTAGAAGAGCAAAATAAAGCTTTGCTCTGCTTTGAATAGACTTCAGCTATTCTAACTATTGAAGAAGTATTTATCCCTGGTGTCTCCACTCTTGGATGGGAAGGGATTTCTGGCATTCTCTCCCTTCCATGGTTTCCAATTTGGGGTCTTTCTCCCCTCCAAATAACTCTCTGTGCAGCTGTTAAGGTTTATGAAGGCAGCACTAGAATAACCTTGCTCTGATTCCAGTTTTATAATTTTCCTCATTGTTGCAATTAAAACTGGCAGAAGATTTGTTCTTTTAACTCCACTCAGCAAATTGGGTTTTCAAATGTAGTGAATATGATTGCTATAGCAGCACCCTGACAAACACTGTGTGCTGAGGAGAAAGGGCTGAGAAGCTTTATTTGTTTGGCTTTAGAGAGAAAAAAATGAAATTTGATAGCATATTGAGAAGCATTTTAAAATATATTTCCAGAACCTTTCAATGTATTTCAAAAGTAC